ACCTCACACTCCTTCACAGCCCTGACACAGACCGAATGGTACCTCACACTCCTTCACAGCCCTGACACAGACCGCATGGTACCTCACACTCCTTCACAGCCCTGACACAGACCGAATGGTACCTCACACTCCTTCACAGCCCTGACACAGACCGCATGGTACCTCACACTCCTTCACAGCCCTGACACGCCTACGCCAAAGCACCAGCAGAACAGTTTGATTCAAAATAAAAATGGTGAATGGATGCTGGTCCCCTAATTGGCGATGCACCTACTGGCATTTTATTCTGTGAACAGACCTCTTAGTGAATATAGACTAGTGGCCAAAGTTTTGGAAACACTTCCAGTTTTTAGAGATTGCAGAGCTTTATTCCAGTTACTCATTTACTCATCCATTGTATGATACTTGTAAACATTCTTTGTTTATAAACATTACTGTCAATATTTGTGCAGTAATTTTTCAAGCGTAATGCCAGGTGTATCCTCAGTTTTGGCCACCAGTGCATTTAGTTGCGAGCTAAAGGGAAGCTAATGGACGAGTTAGAGAGACTCAATCCATGGAGTTTAATCAAACTATATACAAAACGCATTTTAATCCAGTTTCAGTGTTCACCGCAGGGGAAAAAGTGTTTCTCTCCTATAAGAAAAATAACCTTCTAATAGTCTATGCTTAAAGCCACACTGAAAAGATCTAGGGGCTTGAATTATTAATTGCACCTGCCAGCTCGGAGGCCACGTATTTTGGCCCATGTGCATCAATCCTTACGCTAAGGTCACATGACTTCTCGATAATGACATCATGCCAAACAAACAGCCTGATTTGCTCACACAAATGTGCTGAGGCCTGATGCAATCACCCTCGCTTGCTATGCGACACAAATGGCACGCGGCTGTTGTGGCGGCCTACCTGGAAGTCTGTGATGAGGTCGCGACCCAGAGTGCCGAGGGGGGAGTCCCGGGACATGGAGGTGACGCCCGACAGGAAGCTGCTGGACTCCGTGAGGTGCGCCATGGGTGAGAGGTCATCGGGCTGCTCGCGGAGGTGCTCCACCTTCTCCATGAAAACGTGCAGCTCTGCCCTGAATGTCTTCATGCGGGTACAGATGGCGTCTAGTGCCGGCCGGCTCAGCTTGGAGTCGCTCTCCCCTTGCTGGGCCTCGGCTCCCATCAGCAGCATCGCGCTGTCTGTGTCGCCTGCCAGCCTCTCCACCATCCTGCCCAGGCGTTCGGCCTGGCGCCATACGCCCACCAGAGCCTCGGCTCCGGCCCCTGCCCCTCCCCCGGCGGTGTCTGACGGCTTCCCGCTACCGATGCCAGACGTCCTCTCGAACGGGTCATCAGAGTCGCTCTCGCCCCCAACCGGTCCCTCCCGCTTGGGCTGCGGGCCGGGCAGCTGGGTGGGCTCTTCATCGTCGTCAGGGCCCCGCGAGGGCCCCCGTTGGGAGGCCAGGTCGCAGCGCTGCACGGTGGACAGCAGCACCCGGTTCTCGTACTGCAGCTTCAGTACCTTGCCGCTCAGCTCGTCAATCTGCAGCCGGGCCGCTTTCAGCTCGTCTTGCAGGAGCCCGGTGCCCACATCGCTCCCGGCTCCCGCTCCTGCCCGGGGGGCCCCCTCACTGTCCGGGCCTGGCCCCAGCTTGAAGCGGTTCAGCTCTGAGGTCAGCTGCTTGTTGCGGTCCTCGATCTCGGCGATGGATCGCCGTAGCAGCTCTGCCTCCTCCTCAACAAACTGCAGGTGGCGCCGCAGCTCAGAGCCTGACTCCAAGCCATCCCCAAAGGGTGATGTGGGCAAACTGGACAGGGGCTCACGGCCGGGGAAGTCCCGCTCGTACTGGGAGCGGATGTCCTCGTTCTCCGCCCGCAGTCCCCGGTTCTCCACCTCCAGCTCCACGATCTTTCGACCCAGGATGTTGGCCTCCTCCTCGACTAGCTTGAGCCGGAGCCTCAGCTCAGCCTCGCGGGTGCTGTGGGGCCCACCCCCACTCTCGCCAGCCAGCAGGGGGCTCTCCACGTCCCCATACAGGGATTTGTACTTCTGCAACTCTTGCTCCAGCTCCTCCTTCTCCCGGCCCAGCTTGGCCATCTTCTTGCGCATGAGGGCGGACTCCTCTTTGGCAAACTGGAGCTGGCACCGGAGGTCCGCGCTGTCCTCCTGGGGAGCAGGGGACACAGAGACACACCCCCGCGGATGAAAAGCAGGCCATAGAAGGGCCCTGGCCATGCAGGCCCATGGCAGCCCCTTCAAGGAAACCAGAGGAGAAGGAGACCAACCTGAGAGGAGGACTTTCGCTCCTTGAACGTTTCCCGACCTCCTCGCCTCTTCTGAGAGCTCTGTGACAAATGGGGAAATATCAGACATTCATAAAATAGGAAATAAAATGTAAATGTGCATACACAGGTACACAGGAATGATGAATGAAACATATACATACACATACACGCGTGCAAATGCACATACACGCGTGCGCATGTCCCAAATCCTTAACTCAGCCCTTGCCCCCACCTGCACCCAGCCCGACCGCCACCCCCACCCCCATCCACATGTACCCCGTCACCTCAGACCTTCAAAGGGACAGTGAGGGGGCAAGAAACGTAAGAACAACAAATTAGCAAAACAAAAAATACAACTCCCCAAGAAACCAACATACATAACAGGTCATATAAGTGGTTATTGACCACTGTGGATTAGATAGGATGACTGGCCCTATTCAGTTTTTAGGGAGAATAGTCAGTGCAAGCAAAGTAATATTTGTCACTGTGGGTCCATGTTAATGTATTCATTGGCAACATACTATCGCTCATCCATACTCCACTGAATCCACAGAAGATTAACCTGTCATACTCCACTATATGCTTCCAGATCCACAGAACAGCTGTCTTTCTTCAAGGGCTCAAAAAAGTTGCTTTAATTACAGCACAATGTCATCTGAGGAGAACATCGGCCAGCTGGGCACTGCCAGCCCGTGGTGTGGTGAGGGAGGCGGCCAGCTGGGCACTGCCAGCCCGTGGTGTGGTGAGGGAGGCGGCCAGCTGGGCACTGCCAGCCTGTGGTGTGGTGAGGGAGGCGGC